GGTAAGTGAAGACCCACCACCTGTTTATGGACATTGGAAACTAAGAGGTCCTGATTATGGACATAAAGGATAGAGATGAAGCTTGTCATCTGTTCATAGATGCTGCTACAAGTGACAGGTGAGCCCAGGAGCTAGACCGCGCACCCATAGTAGAGGATTGAGAAGTGTGCCATCCACTCCTCAGCTCCTGATGGGTCATTCAATATTATATTTCTATCTATAAATAAGATATTTATACATTTTCACATTCACACTTTCATTATATATATTTAAATTAATTTGGAATGTGTCCTTCAAGGATTTACTTATCACACGGTTCATACAAAGAGGATGAAAACAACAGCATATTTTTAGCCTTTAAACCAGATTTTTTTTTAAGTCTATCAAATGTGTCGCTTTCTGTCTTTGGCCAAACAATATAAAATACATGTATCAACATGGAAATAATAGCAATCCGCAGCGACGTATTCTATCTACAAAAATGAGGACAAAACCAGACATTCTGCGTCCATGTGTTTCTGAGTGACAAATGACCCTTGTATGCATTTTATTTCTGCTATTATTAGGTGCCGCAGAGCTTGAAACTTTTAATTGGACTCTGATCGTTGAAGTTATCCTAAAGGAAATGCAGTTTTTATAGTTGGAATTGAAATGAAATGTCTAATTGTGTAATATCGGAGGCAATTTGCCACAATGTTCTAGTGGAGCCTTCAGAAAATAGGTCACAACAACAGACTGACAATTAGACGGTCAGTGATACGGGATTGTCACAGCAGGTTACTAATAATGAGAGTAAAAGCGTTCACGTGGGTCTGGAACGCATAGCAAGAGGGTACATTAGGCTGCTGTGCTCATAGTTAGTGAGCTGTAGATTTATATTTTCAGAGATGAATTCTGTTCCTTCGGGCATAAAGAGAAGAAAAGTAAGAGCTGTGTTAGTAGAGATTCCTAAGTGTCCACGTTCACACATTTAAAGAAACACCAGTAAATATTACTATATAAAGTCAGGGGGTAAGGCGATATCCAGGGATAGTTACTTTGCTTTTAAACAGTCTTCTCTCCTTCCCCAACCACTTTATACTCACCTTTCCAGTGCTCTCCCTTCATTCCTTCCTCTGTGGTTGCCACTTCAAAAATTCAGGCCAACCAAGGGAGGAAAGATCATCACTGGCCAATTGTGGGACATCTTCACTACCCCTGAGCTTCGACACCAGCCTTCTTGAGTAGTTTGGTGGCCATAAAATGGTCATGGGGTGGACTTTACACAGGCTCTGTGACTTTGCCCTGAATTGGCTCCTGAGACTTTGACATACATACATTTACAACACAGTCCTTTGCTCAGGGCTTGCAGAGGCTCCCTAAAGTGGTTGTTAAGCCCTTACATATACCCAGGGAAGCGACTGGCCTCAGGCGATACATAGAGATTAAAAAACCCTCCTACATAAGTTGTACCTGTTTATCTACAGTGTTCCGTGTCTACATCCTTTCTAAGTCCAGAATTTATGAAGCTTGTCTGAGCTGTCAGAAAAAAAGGGGGTGGAGAGCTGACATTACACTCTGCAGGGCTCAGTGATGGGAGCCCTGAGAGGTGATTGGTGGGAAGAGACACACACCCCACACACACAGCTCACAGGGACAGAGCTGAGACTGTCAATCTGCTGGAGGTCCCTCCCCTGTCACCATTTTTCTCTTGGTGTTAGGAAGACTTGTCAGATGCAACTCATGCAGATAGTAGAGGAAAGGGGCAGCAGAGAGAAACTACACTAGATCGGGGTCAGCAACCCTTTGATCGTGGTCTACCTTTTTCGACCATGGGCAGACCGCAAACAATTACTTACACTGCCAACTCCTGCCTTTTAGTTGCCGGTCCCTCCCTTTCCCCCAGCCTCCTCCGCTGCTCCTGTTATCCTCAGTGCACAGCAGAGAGAGGAAGGCAGCACGGCTCAGAACGGAGGGCGGGAGGAGGAGCTGACCAAATTAACTTTTCATATTAACCCACAGGTGATTGGTTGCCAGGTCAGTCCTAGCAACCAATTATCAGCTTGTTAATATGAAAAGTTCATTTGGTCAGCTCCTCCTCCATCCTGAGCCATGCTGCCTTCCTCTCTCTGCTGTGCACTGAGGACGACAGGAGCAGCAGAGGAGGCTGGGGGAAAGGAGGGGCAGAAGACATTGCTGGGTAGAGGAAGGGGGCCAGAGGTCACTGTTATGGGGGACGGTGGTGGCAGAGGACACTACTGAGGGGGAGAGGTGTGCAGAGGAAACTGCTATGGGCATTGCCACCTTCATAGCAGTGTCCTCTACCTCTCCTCATATCACCCCCCCTCTGTCCCCCCTTTCCCCCATAGCAGTAACCTCTGGCCCCCTTCCCTGCCCCCACAGCAATGTCCTCTACCCCCCTTTCCCCTATAGCAGTGAAATCTAGTCCCATTTCACCCCCACACCAGCAGTGCCCTCTCCCCCCCCCTTCCCTCCCATGGACAGTTAATTTAAAAATCTGAATTCCAAGCAAATGTCTGGGGATTGGGATTTTTCTGCCTCCCCCCACCTTGGTGCCCTAAGGCAGCTGTCTGTGCAGCCTTATGCTGGCCCTCCTGTCCTTGTTCCTCCTTTTTTCTGCTGCCTGGCCCTTCCCCTAAGTGCTTCCCTTTCAACAGAGCTTCTAAAAATATGGTGACAAATATTAAAGAAAACAAATGTAAAATTAAAAAACTACTGACACCATCCAGTGCCCTACTGACACCAACCTCTGTCCTACTGATGCTGTCTACTGCCCTACTGACTCCATTCACTGCTCTACTGACTGACACCAACCTCTGTCCTACTGAAACAATCCACTACCCTGCTGACTGACATCATCCACTGCTCTACTGACTGACAACAACCTCTAACCTACTGACATCATCCACTGCTCTACTGACTGACAACAACCTCTAACCTACTGGCACCATCCACTGCCCTACTGACTGACACCATCCACAGCTCTGCTGACACTATCCACTGCTCTACTGACCAACAACAACCTCTGCCCTACTGACACCATCCACTGCCCTACTGAGTGACAATGTCCATTTTTAAGGTAGGCTAAGTTTGTATTTTTACAGTGACATTTGTTTTATTATATTTTTCTACATTTTCCTTGCTATTTAGTTAGGCCTTGCTAGTTAGTTTTTTTTTTAAATGGTGCTGAACCCCGGTGATGTTTGATCTTTTTCATGTTGTTCAGATAGATCTCCACCTCTCAAAGTTGCCTATCCCTGCACTAGATAGAGATAAAGTACACACTATAGAGGGATATGCTTTGTTCATATTTCATGTCTGAGGTTTACAGCCACTTTAATATGTGGTTTGCTGTTGTAGACAACAGAGACCTCTACTTATATTTATATTCCAAAAGCAAGTGCTCAAAAACATGGATGATGGTAACTGAATTGCACTTGCAGTGAATTAAACCTCCCATATATATCTTTTTTCTAGTTATAAACTGATGAGCTGTTATTTTGTCCTTTCCTGAACTGCCTGTATTAGATGTGGGACCCAGGGGCGGACTAACCATTTGGGAACTCGGGCACTGCCCGAGGGCCCGGGGTCAGTAGGGGGCCCATGAGATGCCCCTGGTACCTTTCATAGGCTTTCTTGGGTGTGGTTTGAGTGTGGGTGAGGACACATGATCCCCTATTGCCCGGGGGGCCCCATAAGTTGTCAGTCCGCCCTTGGTGGGACCCATACAGTACCCATGGATCTGGCAGAACCTAATTAGATGCAGGTCTCTAACACATAAAGACAAAAAAGATAAGTGAAAATGTCTTGATAAGTCACAAGAAGAAATCAGCATCCAGTTTTATGTGATAAAGATATAAAAATCTCTTTTATATGTTTGACCAATGCTAGGTATCTAAGGAGAAGCACATAATGTGATCAGAAATGGCAGTGCAGTGAACAATCAGTGACTGGCATTCCCTTCCCAGCAGTTGAGCTGAACAATTATAATTGTCTCCCAGGTTCATAGAGCGCTTAGATTAAATATGAAGGGATGATAGTTTATTACAAATTTGCTGAAACTCTCCCCAACAAATTCTCAGAAGTAACATTGCAGATTCATCAGTTTCCCATACTACTAAAACCAATTGTCTGTAACTCCAACAAAAGAAATATTCTAGCTTCGGCCAAGAGAAGCCAGAGAAAAAAAGGCATTATAGGAATCATGTCTACTTCAAGGAAATCTCTGCCTTTGTAAGAAAAGAAAAAATACATATATCTGCTGCACAATTTATTTTGCAGTATAGTTATTAAAATGACTTTTACATTTCAATCAGCAATTGAAAAACCAAGCCATAGTTTTCTTTCACTGCCAAAAAAAAAAATCCAATTTCTCATTTCTTTTGCAACCATGACAACAATATTGCACTTACAAACAGGATTTCCTTATCCCCCTTTTTCCTTTGCTGACTTCTGCTGTGACTGTTCATGTCTAAAAGCCTGCTAGGGGTGCCATCTTCAATAATATAGCACTTGAGCGGATAATGAGATTAAGAAAAATTATAATGATTTTGGCCAATGATATGGTGTTAACTGGTTTATGTTATGAAAAAAACATTTTATTTTACAAATATACTGTAAATGTAAAACAGGATCGCTCCATGACCCTAATTTGGGTTTACTATAGAGATAGCAGAGCAGTAGCTTTTGAGATTTGTCACTTTACAACTGAAACTCTGCAACGAGCCATATAGAGCAAGGAGAGAGGGTGTAGACTGAGGTGAGGTACTAAGGTTTGCATCAGGCTTTTTTTTTTGCAAAGCAGTTAAGGGTAGCCTGGTAAACATACAAACAGTAGCTTATAATACCCTCTATGGACAAAAATAGTAAATACGAGCCTATATACTGTGCAAAATTCTCATTCTTTCATATATACATGTGTATATACACCAGGGACGGACTGACCATCTGGAAACTCGGGCACTGCCCGAGGGCCCGGGGTCAGCAGGGGGCCCCATGAGATGCCCCTGGTACCTTTTTCATAGGCTTTTTTGAGTTTGGGCAAGGACACAGGGGCCCCATGATCCCCTATTGCCTGGGGGCCCCATGAGTTGTCAGTCTGCCCCTGATATACACTATATTGCCAAAAGTATTGTGACACCCCTCCAAATCATTGGATTCAGGTGTTCCAATCACCTCCATGGCCACAGGTGTATAAAATCAAGCACCTAGGCATGCAGACTGCTTCTAAAAACATTTGTGAAACAATGGGTCACTCTCAGGAGCTCAGTGAATTCAAGCGTGGTACCGTGATAGGTTGCCACCTGTGCAAAAAGCCTATTTGTAAAATTTCCTTGCTACTAAATATTCCACAGTCCACTTCTAGTGGTATTATAACAAAATGGAAGCAACTGGGGACAACAGCAACTCAGCCACCAAGTGGTAGGCCATGTAAAATGACAGAGCGGGGTCAGTGCATGCTGAAGCGCACAGAGCACAGAAGTCACCAACTGTCTGCAGAGTCAATAGCTAAAGACCTCTAAACCTCATGTGGCCTTCAGATTAGCACAACAACAGTGCATAGAGAGCTTCATGGAATGGGTGTTCATGGCCGAGCAGCTGCATTCAAGCCTTATATCACCAAGTGCAATGCAAAGCGTCGGATGCAGTGGTGTAAAGCACACCGCCTGTCAGTGATCCTACAGCGGTATCCTCTAGCACTCCACAGACCGGATTCCCCCAAGGCGCGGAATCTAAGTCCCTACCTGCTTGTTTCACCAGGGCCCCTGATGGTGGGGGATGGACTTGGAGCAGGCCGAGACCAGGTCACGGCCCTTGAGTTCACCCAGCCATGGTAGAAGCACCGTTGGAGGTGTATAGCAGGTGAGAGTCTGATGTGAGGAGGTCACAAGAGCAGCGTCAGGCAGGCTGGGTCGGTAACAATGGTGGCAGCGTGGTACAAAGTCAGAAGGCAGAGGAATAAACTGGTCACAAACCGGGTTCGTTAACAGGAGATCAGAACGTGCAGGGTTAAGCAGGAGAATGGTCAGACAAGCCAGGGATCAGAGCAGGAGAAGACAGCAGTATCAGGAACAGGCTGGGTCGGCAACAAGGTATTCAGGAACACTGGATCAAACAGGAACACAGGTAACAGGTAAGACCATACGGCACTTGAGCATTGCAAGAGCTGGGTTTAAATAGGCTGCCCAACTCCTGACAGGCGCTCCTGGGTCCTAGTGCCTGCCCGGGGCTGTCATCGGTGACAGGCGCGCCTGGGTCCTAGTGCCTGCCTGCCTGTATGTCTTGTCAGGATTCTACGCATGTGCAGATTCGATCGCCGAGGCGATCTTTTTTTTTTTTTTTTTTCCCCATTCCCTGACATTGCCCCCCCTTACGGGCAGCCTCCGGATGCCCCACCCGATTCTCTCCTTTGTGGCTGGCTATGACGGAATTCTCGTACTAATCTGGGGGCATGGGACATTCTGGGTGGTTCCCCACGAATTCTCCTCCGGCCCAAAGCCTTTCCACTTGATCAGGTATTGTACCTGACCACCCCTTCTTCCTACAATCCAAAATTGCCTCCACCTTGAATTCCTCCTCCCCGTTGATATCTATAGCTTCTGGAGGTCTAGACCTGCGGTCTAAAAAGGGGTCTGGAACTGCAGGTTTTAATAATGATACGTGGAAGACTGGATGTATTTTGAGGGGTACTCGGGGAGAGTCAGTGTTAAATGCCACTTCATTAACCTTGCGTTTCTACTGGGAAAGGTCCCAACAAATTTGGGTGCCAATTTTCTGGATGGGCATGTCAGTTTTAGGTTGGCTGTTGACAACCAAACCCGATCCCCAGGGTGTATGACCAATTTCTCCCTTCCTCCTCCTGTCACAAAACCTCTTACTGTCTTCTTGGGCCTTAGCCATTGTTTCCTGTAATTCCTTGTTATTGGTAGTAAAGAACTCTAAGGTGTCCTGGGCTGCCGGGACTGAGTTCTCAGGAAACCAGGTCTGGCAGGAAGGTAAGGATGGAAACCCATAATTGGCAAAGAATGGGGATTGGTTGGTGGCGGAATGATTGCATTATTATATGCAAATTCTGCCATTGGTAGAAGTGTCAGCCAGTCATTCTGCAGGAATGATGTGTAAGCATCTCAGATATTGCTCGAGAGTCTGATTAGGTTCGTTCTGTTGCCCGTTTGTCTGGGGGTGATATGCTGACGAAAAAGATAAACTTAATCTCCAGCCCCTCACCATAGCGCTTTACCAGAATTTGGACGTAAATTGCACCCCCCCGTCTGAGACAATCTCCTCTTGGCACTAAAAACCTCCGTGAAGCCTCACAATCTCTCTAATGAACCATTGGGCTGTTTCGGAGGCAGATGGTGTCTTGGCATAGTGGAAGGAAATGGGCCATTTTAGAAAGGCGATCACTTACCACAAAGATCACGGCTGTGATCTTGCGAGGGTGGCAATTCTACAATAAAATCTAAGGAGATCATACTCCAGGGACGGTCAGGTATTGGTAAAGGTCTACAATAGGCCCCAGGCCTCTTGTCTCTGGTAGGTTTATTCCGGTTGCAGATGGGGCAAGATCTCACGTACGCTTCACAATCCTTGGCCATTGTTTGGCCACCAAAAATGTGCGTCGTGTGGCCAGATCTATAGTCTTATGTATCCCAAAGTGCCCCCGCTAGGGGATGGTCATGGCAGTAACCTAACACCAGGGACTGGACCTCACTTGGGTACCATGATTTGTTCCCCCTTCAGAAGAGTCCCCTCCTTATTCAGTAGGGGAGACTCCAGGCAGGTCAGAAGACCCGGGTGGAAGCAGCCTGCAATTTAGACAACAGCTCAGATTGAAGCAGTAGGAAGCTACTTGCTGGCAGGATGGTGGTCTGGCTCTGGCTGGGGGGTTCTCTCCAGGGTCCTCAAACATCCGGGAAAGAGCATCTGGCTTAGTGTTTTTGACCCAGGGACGATACGTTACGTGGTAGGTTAAACCTTGCAAAAAACAATGCCCATCTGGCCTGGCGTGGACGGAGGCGTTTAGCGGTTTTCAAGTACTCGAGGTTTTTGTGGTCGGTATAGACCAGAATGGGATGTGGGGCCCCTCTAGCAGATATCGCCCATTCCTCCAGAGCGGTCTTAATGGCCAGTAATTCCTGATCCCCAATATCATAATTCCTTTTCCGAAGGGGAGAGCTTCCTAGAAAAGAAAGCCACTGGGTGCATCAGCTCCTTGGCCCCTACCCTCTGGTGATAACCACTGCTCCTACAGCCACTTCCGATGCATCTACCTCTAGTATGTAGGGCAATGATGCAATCAGGATGGTTCAGAATGGGGGCCGTTGTGAATAGCTTTTTTCAATGCTCAAAAGCTGCCTGTGCTGCTGGGGTCCATTGGAAACGTACTCCCACTTTGGTGAGCTGAGTAATGGGTGCTACCAGGCCTGAAAAGTTCTTTATAAATTTTCTATAAAAATTGGCAAACCCCAATAAACCTCTGGACGCCCCCAATAAACCTCTTCTTATCCGTGGGGGCAGGCCATTCCAGGATGGCCGAGTTCTTTTGAGGGTCCATAGCGATCCCGTGGTGGAGATAATTTAGACCAAGAAATGAGATGCCTTTTCTGTTTCAAAACAGCATTTCTCAGCTTTAGCGTAGAGTCCATGCTGACGGAGGACGTTCTAGCACACTCCTAACATGTCCCCGATGTGCTTCCAAAGACGAGGAGAATATCAAGATATCGTCCAAGTAGACGCGATTACAAATATGTCAAGGAAGTCCCTGAAAATGTCGTTGACAAAGTGCTGGAAGGTGGCTGGTGCATTACATAAACCGAAAGGACATGATGCTAGACACTCAAAATGCCCGACCGAAAACGAGTGGCGAAACGCCGTTTTCCACTCATCCCCCTCACGTTATCTTACCAAGTTATAGGCACCCCTGAGATCCAGTTTAGAAAAAATGGATGCTGATTTTAACCTCTGAAACAATCTGGAACTAAGGAAGGGGGATAAGCGGTTTTTTGACGTTATATCTAATCTTGTGAGGTCCACTGTAGTCCAACACAAGGTCTCAGGGATCCGTCCTTTTTCTCGACTAAGAAAATCCCTGCCCGGCCGGTGATGTGGAAGGCGGATATAAATCCCTTACGGAGGCTCTCATCAATGTATTCTTTTAGTGCCCCTAGTTCTCGCTCAGATAGTGGAAAAATGCGGCCAAAAGGGATTTCTGAACTGGGAGCAGATCCAATGGGGCAATCATGATGCTCGATGTGGGGGAAGAACTTCTGCCCCCCGTGGACTAAATACATCAAGAATTGGTGGTAGGCCGCAGGCACAATTTGGGCTAACTCGGCATCAGGGCTTACAGCCAGTAGGGCCTGTGTATTTAATGATAACTTAGATAAACAATGTTCCTGACAGTATTGTGAGGGAAACTGGACTGACCCGGTCTTCCAGTCAATCTGGGGGTCGTGAGCTCGTAAGCCAGGGGGTAGCCCAGAATAACTGGAAATAGGGGGGGACGCGGGATGGCGTCCAAACGGCAGGAACTCCTGGTGATTGTCCCCGCCACTGTGGTGTGTATGGGAGGAGTCTCCGATCTACCGTCCCCGATTTTATTTGAGACCCATCTGCCAAGAAAATATTCAACCCATGTTCTTTGGTGAGTAAAACGGTATCTGATGCTGGGTAGCAAAACTGAGATCAAACAAAGCAGCTACATGCCCCGGAGTCAATAATAGCAGCTGTCACCTGTATGCTTCTCCTGGGAGCTGAAAAGACACAGGTACAGCCAAGTGAGTGGGGTTACTGTGCCACACAGTAGATATATTAGAGAAAATAGAGGACTTACAGTATTTCTCCGGACAGGAGCGCACCATATGCCCCGCTGCTCCGCAGTAACAGACACAGGTTGTTTGCCCGACGCCTCTGTCGTTCCTCAGTAGAAAGGGGAAGGCCGCATCAAGCCGAGTTGCCATAGGTTCGGCTCCTCTGACGGCTCTGGGCCCGATTGCCGACAACTGACCCTTGGCATGACTGGTACTCTTGGCAGCATCCATGAAGGTACTTTGCCCCTGGCTGGACCTCTCTGTTCTCCTTTTCCCGCACAAGTCTGCGATCGATTTGGATCGCTACGAATCTATTGGACCTTCCTAAGGAGTCTGGAAAAACCCTATTCTTGCCAAATCTCGTCCTTCAGTGGTTCGACAGTCCCAACCGGAAAGCTGGTGGCGCAAGGCTGCGTCGTTCCCATTGTGTATCTCTACTCCAGCGCCTAAACTCCGCAGCATAATCCTTTCTGCCAGCCCCGGCAGTCCCTGTTGTAGAGAATAGAGGGGCTGCCTCAGCCGAGGCACCTCGATGCGGGTCATCGTACAGCTGTGCCCTTGCCTTAAAGAAGGTGGCACACCGTGTTCAAATGTGGGTGGTGTGGGCCTCCATCAGGCGATGGGCCCATCCCTGAGGTTCGCCCTGCAACAGGGATATAACAAATCCCACCTTCACCGATTCTGAAGAGAAGGTCCGGGGTTGCAGGTCAAAAGTATAGCTGGCAGGAATTTTGGAGGCCCTGAACTTCCCTCGATCCCCACTGAACCGCTCAGGGGTC